TTTTCTCTTCTTTCTTCGGGCTGGTTATCGCCAGCCTTACCCATGATGCACTTCGGGTAAGATATTAATAGCCTCCATAAGTTTACTTACTTGTCTTGTTGCATCAAGTAATGACAGATGCTGGCCATCTCTTCGAGCTATACCCAAAGTTTCACTGTGAATGCAATTGAATAGAAAGATATTGAGGAATGGTCAAGAGGGAAGTCCGCCTGAATTGTAGTTACACCTTCAACGCACTGGAAGAGAATACCCCGCCATTCTTAGATAAAGTCAATGATATAAAAAAAATAAGAAAGTATTATAGAAAATGTTATGAGTATGGAAGTGTATCACAGTGGATTGAATGGAACCGAAGCAGCAGGAGAAATCAAGAAGTTATCGAAAGAAATATATCTTTCTCATAGAAGAATAACAATGAACTTGTAGAAATTAATAAAAAAGCTTATTTAAAATTGTACGCACCATATATCAAGTGGTATTTCTAAATATCACATAACACAAGCCAAGTATAGCATACCAATATCTTTTACAAAAGGCATGAAAAAGAGGTCTGAAAGGCACTTATTTAATAGAGAAAGCACGCGTTACGATGAGAGATTGTGGTCCAAAATCTGCTGCAATACTCGCGTATCTGTAACATAGAAGAGAATGCGTTCTGCTTGTTCTCTTGTTAATCTTGTGCTATCTTTCGAACAGGCTTACCATTGTTTGCTAGAGGATTTATCTGTCAGATAGGACGTGTCCTGACGTTACGAACATAAAAAGTCTGGTTATTTATAATGAAGTGTTTGACAACAATTTCTGATTGGTCCAATAAGAATTTCAAAATGTCTGAATGGGAGCAGAAGATACTTTTTCGCTCTATCCTAATCTACAAACATGCAGACCAGCCGTTCCTCTTCTGAACCCACCTTAAACACTCTTGCTGAAATGATTCAGAAATTGCAAGACAGCTGCATTTATGGATTTATTGACACACGCAGGGATTTTACCAGCGAAATCAAGGATTTAAAGGATAAAATAAACTTTTTGACTCAAGAAAATGCTGCTTTAAAAGCAGAACTAACTGAGCTTCGAAAGGTAATAGGAACTACGTCTACCACTACTCCTGCCGCTCAAAATACCACTACTACTGCAACTACTACTACAACTATTGCTACAACGAAAACAGGTCTTTTTGCTGACAACCTATTTCCTGAACGAAACATACCTATACCCAAAGTGTCAGATACTCGCTCTGATCGAAAGGAACGTTCTATCCAATTCAATTGGAAGCATTATAGATGGCTCATTAACCAAGTACGTGGACCTGATGTCGAAGAAATCGACGATAGAACATTTGAAGTCTGTAGAATGAATGTGTCGTCAAAGATTGTGAAGGCTGCTGTTGATAGTACCAAGAGGGCTTTTAACCTTGACGACGATCTTTCTTGGGGAAGTATTCCTGGTGATGCTCAGATCTCTGCCATAGAAAAGCTGGAAGATATGGCAGCGCCCTTCATCCCTCTTCGTGCCTGCGCTGGCTATTGGGGAGCCAATATATTACTTAGCTACTACTGGACGACCAGGAGAAGGACAGAAAAGAAGAAAGCAAATATAAGCAACCAAGGTAACTATTAATAATCCTTTACTTTTGAGCGTTAACCCACACTTTTATGAAAAGAAAACACCATTACTTCAAATACCTCAAGTCAATCAGATGAACTCCACCCTGTGGTATCTGATCCATCACCGTAAGTGCTTTATTAAGAAAATTTACTCTGTGCATATACTTATTGTCTTTATTCAGCTCAGTAAATGCGGAAGAAAATGAAACAACCGATTTGGATGCTGACCGACTGCATACTGCTAGCAGTACACCAAAGCGTACGCTTGGCAAGAAAGGTACATTTAAATATATATATTTATATGGCTTAAGGATTCTTGGCTAATAGTGTCTTTTTCCCACAGTATCCTCCAAGCGTTCGTCCAAATCCTCAAGTAAACGACGAAGAGTAGCAGAATCTGAAGGCAATGAAAAAGAGCGTTAAGAGTAAAGAAGGTGAGTAGTTAGGAAACACGCTGCCCTTCTATTTTCCTCCTTTTTCTTGCTTTTTATTTATTTTCACTCTTTCTCCTTGTATATATTTATGATAGTAGAAAAACAAAACTTTGCTTACTTTATGAAAGTGAACATTTACGTTGTTTTTTTTTTTTTTTACAAGCTTCATTTGATAGATAAAACAATGCTCAGAACATCACATTCTGCTTTTTGTTTGGTTCCATAACATTTTGGGAGCAAGAAAGCTAGCTAAATTCACTTTCTCAATATTAACAAAAACGGGATCATGTAGAGCGCATCAAAACATGGGCCATGATTGATACCCGTTCCACTTTTTCATGCGCTTCTCCCACCTTCTGTTCCGCTTCGGGCTTTGTACCTTTGCCTCCCCAAGCAAGGCACCATCAAACTTGGACGTAATGAATCAAAAGTGTTAAGCCAGTTACGCGAAATAAAGTTTTATTACAAATGCACGTTCATTTATTGTAGGGATTAAATTTGTAGTCAATATTCTCAAGCTTTCACGATGCTTTCACGCTCTTGTTCAGAAATATCTAAGGAAGTTTCCTCTTTCTCGTTCTTGAACAGCCCATCAGAAGCAATTTTCTTCCTATCATTATTCCTTGTCAGTGGCTTCTTTGTCTCAATAATTGTTGCTGCATAACGAGCAGTATTAAGTGAATGACTGACATCCATTATACTTGGAGATAAAGTAGCGATCACATATGTCTTTGCAAGACGATCTGGTCCTGGGCTAAACACGCCTATGGCTCGATTTAGCTTCAGATAAACATACTAACTGTTAATCAAACCTTTAAGCAAAAGGGTCAACTTGGATGACCTATATGGTATGTGTACATGCTTCTTTGGATATAACGTCCTTTCATATGCTTTTCGCAAACAATCTTTGAGAACCATCAGGGACGTATTGGTGATACGAGTTTCTTTGATGAGCTGACTGTCATGCGCTGTTGAATCAGCATTCCTTTCAGAGCCAGCCAGGTCAACAAGCATTATAACTCCACTATTTGCTGAGTTTTCTTGATTTTGACAAATACGAAGATTATATATAGCATGCGAGCGACTGGAATGGTCATTCTTTAGGGTTTTTGCTGTACGACGGTTAGTCTCAGTATTTGTCTTGAAGGACATGTAATCTTCCATGGACGCGATCTTGACCTCCTTGCAACCAGTTGCATTCACCTGACCCGTCGTTGTTTCGCGAATTTGGACTGTAGAAGTTTCATCTAAAAGATCTTTCAACTCATTCCCAAAGACTTCAAATGAGGAGCAATATATTTCAAAGCCTTTATCATTCTGAGTAGTCAAAATATCAGAAAAGATCATGTTCAAGAGACCAGTTATAGTAAACGTCTTTCCAGAACCAGTTTGTCCATAAGCCAATATTGTAATCAAGCCATTGCTTTTGATGGACTCATTCAGTTGTTCGGAAATTGCGTCATATACAGATTGGTTGTCATGTTCCGGACCAAAAGAATGGTCAACCTCCATTGTGTGAGATCTAATACCTGGGTTACTAAGTACTTTAAAGTATGGTTCGTGAATATATGTGCGGTGTCCATATTGAGATATCACACTACAATGACCTTTATCAATTTCGGAGGGTTGCAAGGGACGAGTACGCAAAAGGACATTGATACTTTGGTTGGTGCTAGTATTAGGTTTAGGTGCTGAGCGCTTAATCTTTTCGTCATGGTTTTCTATCGCTTTCTTGAAGTACTCGACACATTTGAGATATCTCTGCTCAGTTAGAGGTAGACGGTAAGCCATTGTGTACAAAAAAGAATGTAACGCCTTGTGTTTAGGTTGGACGCAATTTGCCGTTCAGGATATCTGCTTTCTTTTATATATAAATGCAATTTGTGTGTGTGTGTGTGTGTGTATAAAGGTTAAGGTAGCACAGTGGTTAGCCACCATTATAAAGTTTATAAATGTAGTATTAAAGCCAGCTCAGGGCAAAGACCTTCAAAATGCACTTTCCTAGCAATGTTAATCCTCTTGTTTCGTCACTTATCCTTAGTTTTCTGTGTTTGCTAATACATCATAAGCGAATAATACAATCATTAACTAATTTTTTTTTGCCTAATCGACTTGGCCAAGATGACACGTCTTTGAAGACTATTCAGATCATAGACTACAGTACAACGTGATACCAGTGATTGTAAAATCAAAGGCGCATTTGTTACAATTGGTTCCTGACTTTAGTCGCACAAATTTGCATTCGCAAGTCAATCAATCACAATATAAACCTTCTTTTATGCTATGAAAGCAAAATTCGCACAAGATAAGAGTGTAACCCAAAGAGGTACGGGGCAAATTAACCCCAAGGTACATTCGCCACATTGAGAACACACACCTTGCAAGATGTAATATTATCCTTTCACTTTCGGAACATTCTCGTAAAGCAGCGCCCCCATACAGTACCAAACGCGTACTTCGGACTTTCGCGTAAGACAACCGAAATTAAGGTACACCTCTCCTAAAGAGCCATGTTATGTTTCGTCAAGTTTTATGAATACGGTTTATATATAAAGACGTCAGCTCATAGTAAAGTTAATTCACTGAAAACAGTGCATCAAAATACAGGATTGGATTTTATGATAATTCAATCATAAAGACCATGATAGTCATTGATCAACAAGAAAAAAGTAGATCATGATACTTCCTTATTGGTCATAAACGGACTAATATGGGAACCAACTTTACGGATTTTTCTGATACGAAGCCCCATGACAGCCAAGGATCAGAATCCCTGGTATATATAAAAGCCGAGGAACCTGTCAGCAAGATTTTGAAATTGTAATTGTTCTTCAAGACTTCTCGTCATCATGTACATCGGATCACTCGCTCTTGCTCTCGGTCTCGTTGCCCAGTCTACTGCCGCGGTGATAAACCCTGGACCCAAGACTATCAATGGTGTTAAGTATGCTGAATGCGCTTCAGTTAGCACTGGATCAACATTCTGTAAAGTTGGACAAGATCATTCTCAACAAACCGTTGGACTTACCAAACGCGACGCTCATCAAGAATGCTTCAAGCAGCCCAGTTGCTGGTATTGGTGCACGAAAGGCGTTGGCGCTACGTCAAAGCGTGACCTTGGTAATTCCTGCTTCAACGCTTCAGGTGAAGTGTTCTGCCAAGCAGATTATCCAGTTAAGGGTCAACCTCCTCAAACATCTACTTTATCTTACACCTATGGCGACAAACATTACTCTACTTGTTTCACAGTTAATCATGACATCTGGTGTGAAGTCATTGAAGCTCCAGAGAATCCTGCAAAATATGAAAAATAAAGGTTTTGCTAGAGGCTCTCTGCTATCATATAATCAATATATATTGAATAAATAAGTAAACCCGCTCTTGTTTCATTGTAGTCTTTACACGTTTTATTAGTAGTTTTGCTTATCACTGATATCGACGATAAGCTTATTACTTGTACTATTACAGAATATGATAACATTACTTCTATTTGCTTTGCTAACGAACATTGGCTCAGCAATATTGCGTAGCTGAACAGCATGACGTATTAAGAAGTGGATAAACAACTGCTCTCTTTGGCATACTCTGCTTCTGGACATGACAATCTTATAAGAAATCACACTGTTTGCTCGCGCGATTGATGATACACTCTCGTAATGTCTAAACAAGACTCCTGAGCGACCCCCGAAATCTCTTCACGTCCAACGATCTCGCTTACCCTCTTGGATATGGAATGTCTTTGTCATCCTCTCCCCATTCTGAACAATCTCTTGGCTCTTTCGACAAGCATTCTTTCCTTCTGTGATTTTAGTTTTCAGTAAAGACAAGTTTCTCTCTGATTCTGCGTTCATTCGACTCTGACCATATTTCTCATTCTAAGCCCTTTTTCCCCTTGCTCCTATAAAGGGCTTTCTTTTTTCTTTTTGGTTCGCTTGACAGTCTGATCGTGCCTGAATGATTCGGTCTACGAAGATGAGATGCAGTTGAACCACTACTAACGATCACTTTTTGTTTTGAAAAGTCTGGTGAGGAATGAAAATAGATATTATAAATGAAAGAGATGAAAGAAAATAGCTTTTATTGTTAAGACTAGTAATTATCATTTATCCTTTAAAGATTCGTCTAATTCTTTGCTTCTCTTATAGTCTTTATTCATTGGTAAAGAATACCATTAAATAGGGCAATTAGAATAGATTTCTTAATCTCAACGTTTTTTTCTCCACGGCTAACGACTAGCTCAATGAGCAGTCGCTTTCCTTCTGATAGCCTACGGCTACCTTTTTTCCTGTTCTTCATTCCACTCAGCTTTTCCAGAATAATTTCTTTACTGGAGCTTTGCTGTATGCCAAGGTCTTTCCAGAACTCCATTTCGTTCAGCGATCTTTCAAGTTCATTCGGAGGACGAAAGGGCATCTTTCGATGACAAATCTGTCAGTTTCAAACAGGTAGATACATAATTGAGAGACTCGGGTCGGTGTACTAAAGCCTATATTATCGAACACTGCAGATTTTATGCACCATGAGCGCAAACTCGCCTTCTTCGAGTAATTTCTAAGCATTCATGGACATGCTTTTGATCCTGCTTCAATTATTGGACTGAATATGATAAAGCTAGTGTCTTCAGCAATAATTACAAGCGCAGTAACACTCAAGAATGCTTCCAGTGGAGCCTCCAGTGGCGGCCACTTCCAATCTTTGATAGTGAATCGAAGCTCATACCAAGTGAAGAAATGAGTAAACGACAACATCTAAAAGTATCTGTTTTATTTATGTAAATAAGAAGTAAAAGAAAAAATATTAATACACGACAACAGTATACGATAATTATGGTATAGATTATTAGTGTGATGTCGCTCTGTCTACAGGCTCTTTTACTCTTTCTCGCTCTAAACCAACTCTAATTTATTGTAGACTTCATATACTAAAGGCATCATGTTCCAAGAGAATTTTCTCCCTGAAGATATGCTTAGCAGACCCATCCTTACAGTCATTTCAACCAAGAATGGGATTAAGGATACTATAGGGGCTATGTCTAGTCAGATGATTGGGCTAACAGAAGAAGAAATGAAAGAGATGAGAATCTTCGAAAGAAAAACTCAAAGCACAACCTGAGGAGTTGAGACAAGAAAATGGACAGCTGAAATTATAAGTTGAGGGCACACGTTCTAATATAAATGGAACGAACTGGCCAAGGCATACAGAGCAAGAAAAACTAGTCCATGGCTTGTTTGCAGATAACTTGAGCCCTTGTTAAATAAGTGCTAGATGGCAGACTTAGGAAACAAGTAAGAAACGCCAACTCCCATGGGTTCTTTACAAGAAGATTAAGGAAGATATATACGGCAACCCAATTGATGACAAGACGTTTAATACTGCTCCTGATCGCCTCATGCTCTTTAGGTTGCCGGCTATTATTCGTTAAGTCAAGGATGAATTCAAGATTGAAATTGATAAGCCAATCAAGATAGTGGGTCTACGAGTAAAGCTTAGAGTTGCCCAAAATATCCAAAGGCTGGTGCTAAACGTTGGTAAGATGTGTCCTGCAGAAAGAAGCAGAAGGATGAGGCAAATAAAAGCCGAGCAAAATCAATATGGAATATATTTCCTGATATGATTACAGTAAGTGGCACACCTAGAATATACCTAGTCCAGCCGTTCAAGAGCATCGAAATCACTGTGTTCGAAAATGAAATGAAGAGTTGCACTTGTAACAATTTCAAGTACAATAACATTGCTTGTAAGCATGTGTATCTGCTCCATCGCTTACATGCTGAAACATCCCGTTTTAATGGTAGGTTGCAAGGTGTATGTGTTTGTAAATAACATATGCTAAAACTTACTTGCATTTATAAGAGAATGTTGTATCATTTGAGCAAATAGACTCGGTTGGTCAGGATGGTATGACTACTAACATTGCTGCTGAAAACAGAGTTGTTGCTACAGAACATTCCTCTATGTCTCCAGATAATCAACAGCTGAAATGGCCAATCTTCCTGTTGCTTATCGCTCTTATAGAAAAAATCCATACCGTTTAAGCAAATAAAGTGTTACTCCTTGAAAGGTAGGTTCCTCTTTGATAATTTAATCACTTGTATTGGCTGTTTAACAACAACAAATATTTTGAATACTTAATACCTTGTGCCTCAATTTTGGGACTCCGGTACATTTACCCTGTCTATGTAATGTCACCCCTACTTTCACCTACAGTAGTCAGAAAGATAGAAAACGATCACGTGTGATTAAATTGCCAAATAAATACAAACATATTTCCTAAAAAAAAAAAAAAGAAAGAGAGAAAGAAAAAAAGAACAAATGCATCAGATGTTTAAACAAAGGCTTCCTAAGCTTATTAGCTTTCTTTCTATCCATTTTTTAAAGTAGCGCAAATAATGTCTTGTATGCCATGTGGTTAATACTATTTGAAAGAATAAGGAGTAAATGATTTTTTGGAAAAAATAACATGAAAGGAGACATAGGCGAAAGAAAGAATAATGTATCTTTGAGGTTATTTCGCCTTTGGATAGAAACCTCTCATGTGCATATGCGAAATAGCCATAATCAAATATATAATGACTATTCCCATTTCTCTCTTACTTTTTCTCTTTTACTTTTCTACATGTTACTCAACTCTAATAGTACATCTTACTTTGATACCACCAAATGGAAGAAAAAGCTAACGATCCCTTTAAAGCGTCATCGAAACAACGTTCATTGGAATGGATCGGCAACTGCAAAGGCTGCAGCTACGGAAAAATTCATTAGACGAAACAAACAAGAGGTCTTATCCGAGGATTTGACTGCAAGTCAATTTGCAAATATTACAGGCATCAAAAAAACAAAACGTTATGAAGAGGAAGCACATTTAAGTGATGACGATGCAGACTCTACGACCACATCCGCAAGCCAACCATTGTCTATTTGGGACTCCCATTTTTGGCATAATGATCGACAAACCGAGACTTCTATTACCTCATCTGCATCTCAGCCTTGCATCTCATCATTAACTTCCTTACCTTTAACAAGGCATAAATCAGAGCCAGGAGTGATACAGAAAGGTAGATTCAAAATTACTTGGGGAATGGATGACGAATCAGCTATGATTACCCCTGAAATTAATTGTGTAGAATGGAAACGTAAAAAGAACATGTAAATGAGATATACATCTTGAAGAAAGATACCTACATTCTTTTGAAACGACAAATATTATGGAAGTCTCTCTTATTCTCCTTTTTTCTATATCCTTTCTCTTATCACTCGCTCACTCTTTACCTTCATTTTTATCTATGTAAATACTCACTTATATATATATATATATATATATATATATATGGAGTGACCTTGTAGTGAATATGTATATCTTATCTATGTCATCTATTTACTTTCTCTCTCTATCTTTCTTTCTTTTTTATCTTGGTATGTAAATATGCATGTAATCGAATCTATTAATAATTATAATAAAATATATAATATATTCATGGACATATTTAAAACAGACTTCTCTCTCTTTCTATTTTTCACTTATCCAAGTGGAGGGTTTTAAATGCATCATGATAAAGTTTATTTTCCAATGATCGTAACATTCTTTGATCCAAGCAAATCCTTGACAGCCTTGATCTTTTCTTCCTTTTGGGCCATCTTTGGATTGTATTTCTGTATAATCTTCTTTTCCTTTTCCTTCATTTCCTTCTCCTTTCTCTTCAGCTTCTTCTTCAATGCTCTTGCCTTCTTACGTTCAGCCTGATCCATTTCGGTTGTAGCCTTCACTTCACCACGTTTCTTTTCATACACTTCTTCAGGTGCCAATAAAGTGGCATCAGATACATTCACGGGTATGATTTCTTCCATGCTAATAGCAGCAGCGTTGCTGACAATTTCCATCTCAGGCTTAGGTGCCTTGGGTGTGTAATGAAAGTTGGAAAGAGCATCCAATTTATGACATAAGCTGTTGAACATATTGGTAATCTCCTCATGTTCCTTCTTTAGTGCCTCGTCACGTTCATCGACTGCGGCATCACCCAACTTCTTTTTAGAATAGTCGTCTTCATAGATTTCTGCTAATGATTTCTTTGATTTTTCATCGCTTATCTCTACTCTCTTGGAAGGCAAGAAAGGACGTAAGGTTGGATCCACTTTACGTTCAACGTCATCAAACATATTGTCCACGATACGCTTTTTGATCATATCTTCCAACACATTTGTCGTTTCTTGTGTGATCACAGGCACAGGCTTATTAGCATGTTCAAACTCGAGGTCTTCCTCCAACAGACTGTTCACAGGTCGTGCACTCGCAGTGGCTTCACCACGTAATGTCCAATGCTTGTCTTGTATATTTTCTTCTTCAAATTGTTCAATCTGTGCCGCAATACGCTCTTGCTGTCTTTGGAAAGCAGATTTCTCTTCTTGGCCATTTTCTTCTTCTTCTTCGTCATCAAACAAGTTACGAACAGAGCTCTCTGACTTGTCATCTTGTTGCTCGTCCTCAGACTCTTCTTCTTCTTCTTCTTCTTCTTGTCTCTTTGGCTTCATGGGCCTCTTAGGCTTGGTTTTACTTTTTTTGCCAAAAAAGTCCTCATATGTTAATTCTATGACATAAAACATTAGAATCAGATGTAAATGAACAAGATTAGCCACTCACCAGCTGCATCTTGGTATTCATCATCTGTGTCTTCAAGGTCCTCTAAATCTTCATCAAAATCAAACCCATCATCTTCTCGATCTGACATCATATCAAGCTCTTCTTGCTGTTCTGTCCACTTGTTGAATTTTTCCAGGTTGAAAAAGTCGTCATCTACTTCAGATGTCTTTTTAGGTCTAGAAGAAAAGATTTTAACAATGGTTGGTATAACTCTAGTTTCATGATTACCTTTCATCATCATCATCATCAATGTTATCATCCCCATTATCATATTCATCCTCGTCTTTTTCAATATCTTCCTCATATTCATCTTCTTCTAATTCACTATCAGCTTGGCTCATCTCTTCTTCTTCTTCTTCTTCTTCATCGGTTGGCAAATCGTAATCTCCTTCTTGATCTAATCTGTCAAGATCCATTGACTGACCAGACACACTTGTTTCTTCTTCTTCTTCACTGTGTTCGTCTATTGTTGGTTTTCTTGAAAAGGATCTTAGAGTTGACTTTGCATACTGTAAGAATGGCTCATTTTGTGCAGCAATCTCTTCCCATATCTGATCATTATCAAAATCCTGTATTAATAATTCATTGAACGGTGACATTTCTACTGGCTCAACTTGTTTCACTACAAAGATCGGTTATAAACACATTTCAAAAGAAAGAAAAAGATGTACCTTTATCATAAAAATGCTTGGCTATTTGTATGGCCTTGTCTGCAAGCTTTTGATCTGGTATAAAGAAGGATTCTGGCTTGTTGACAACATTATTAATGAAATGATCAATCTCGTTTGATGCGTTGGCTGCAACCATTGTGCAAAGATGTCAAATTATGAAAAAAATAATACTTTAGGCGTAAGCACCAACAAGAAAAGAAAAGGGAAAAAACTGTGACAAGCATTAAAGGATGTCACGACATCTCTTGCCCTGTGCATTTTGATTGGCCAACTACTGAAATTTATTTACTGACATGCCCAATGTAGATTACAACAGTATAAATGAAAAAGTGTCGAGAGAGCTTTAAAAAGAAACTTATGTCTATAGAAAAATGTATTGTACAGGCAGAAATAGGATTGGTATTTCTATAAATGTTTGCTTTTTTCTGTCCTTTCACTCAGCCGCATTTGATTTTACTGTTTTGCAGCCTTATAAAAAGAATGTAATAACATAAACAAATGGACACAGCATAAAGCTGAGATGTAATGACTTACGGCCCACACAATTGTTTGGATATGTAACTATTTGATATTAAGGGGGATTATTAAAATCATTTGAATCCATTAAGCTTCAAACATAATACTTTCATATTATTCTCAATACTCGATCTATGTTAACTTTGATCAAGATTGAATTGTGACTCTTTATATAATTCTTAATCGCTATTGGCCCTTACTCTTAATCATGAAATGAAGAGTATAAATTTTTTTTCATGATTGCGAATGTTTTTTTTTTCTTTTTTCCTTGCTTCATGAAAGCTTAGAGAAGTGGACGATAGTTCATTATTAAAGGATTGGACGAGTAGTTCATGACTAAAGGATTGGACGAATAGTTCATGACTAAAGAGTAATATCCCGCAAAAAAGGGCTATGACATAGAGTAAAAGTAGAAGCCGTAAGCAAAAAAAGCACGTCTTTGAAAATACCTTCGCGTTGGAACCGGGGTGAATAACCTCGGCTTTTTTTTTTTTTTTTAATTTGACCAAAGGATGATCCCATAAACTTAGCCAAAGCTGAAGCTTTAACATACTTAAGCGTATTCTTTGTTGTGTTTTTTATTATTTAAATAACCACAGAGATGTCTGTGATTACCGAGTAGAGTAGGATGCTGATGGTCATTTCACTCTTTATTATTTTTTTTTATTATTATTAACAAGATTTGATCGGCCCAAATGGGCCGATATAAACCACATTTTTTTATTGGACAGACTCCCTCGGTTTACATGGCGTGTGATGACTACAAAGCTTAAGACCTGTATTTTTATTTCGTTGAGTTTTTGTTATTTTTCATAATCTTAAACAGGTCTAAATCCCAAACAACATCAGTAAAATTAAAGTTCAAACATGCCTCCTGTCAACAAAAAACTTGATGTCAGCGTAAAAGTATCAGTTAACAAGCGTTTCATCACTGAGAATATAGTGAAAATTATATTATTCCGTGAGTACGACTAGAATGAAACTAAGTTGAGCTTTCAAGGAAAGACGATTGCACGATCTGAGGAAAATGGTAAGGTAATGTACGATGTATTGTTGAATGAAGCAAATGGCTACATCCTCAAGCTTAGTGAAGGCACTATCAAGTACGTCGGCCCTCTTTCAACTCCTGTAGCTCAGGAAATTGTTGTCGACACCAATGTAGTCGAAGCTGAAGACTTGTTGGAAGATGCGGTGGATAAAGATGAAGAAGAGGGATCCATCGATTTGACTTCAAGTCGTGGGTGGACTGCTGGTGAGGTTTATATGGATTCTCGTCTAAGTGATTCAGCAGAAGGATTCACCTCCTTGAACTCTTGTTTAATTATGAACAACGGAAGATATGTCTCTTCATTGGATTATTTTTTGTTCTTCCTTCCTTCATGCAAGAAGTCTGGGCCATTGGAAAGATATTACCTTTCATGAATATCTCATGTGGATTGCACTCTTGACGGTAATAACTGTGGTCAGACATAATAATAGAAAGGCATATTGGAGACAAGACCAGTCTTTTTTCTTGATGGATATTGACTATAGTCAATATATGTCTTTTAACAGATTCAATGATATTATGAATATGTATATTTTTGAAATTCCTTCAAAGCAGGCTCAGGAACTTGACCCTCTTTATCAAATTAGGTCCACCATCCAAGCCTTTGTATCCTCATGTGGTGCCACTAGACTTACTAGTGAAAAAACTTTCAAGTCTTTTGACGGAAACCTAGCTACTATCAAGTGGCCGGAAGTAGTAGACGAATACGAAAGGCATAAAAGTAGGTACAATAGCTGCAATATAATGCATGTGTTGAAGTCAGTTATTTCGCTATAGGTTCTGTGGATGCTGCAAATAATTTACGTGATAATCTGACCTCTTATCACGACATTATCTCAACCGAGAGATGGGAAATGCGCTTCTTTGGTTTCTTCTTGAGTCTTTGTGAAGCGAACGCATACAGTTCCTTCAGGGTCTTCTCTGAGGAAGGTGCCTCAAGGGGCCACTCGTCCTTTAAGGATAATTTGGCCTTCAACTTGCTTGAACATTGTAAGGAATTGAAGTCAAGATACAATGAAGTGGCCCAAGGCAGCAACCGAATGCTTAGAAGTGATTCTAACCATTCCTACGTCTCCATGAGTAATGCAAGCAACAAAAGAAAGAGATTGATATGCCGTAAATGCAAAGAAAGCGGCACTAATGGCAAACGGGTTGAAAAATTTTGTAGTTGTGACCCCACAATCCCCTTGTGCTTCGACTGTCATAATCAACACTTGAAGGCTGTCTGGCTTCGCCAGCTTTATTAAAAATAATTCTTCATAACTATGTCTACAATATTTTTATTTTTTTTCAATAACAAAGCTTCAAGTTGCTATATCACTATTCATCAAAGGGTCAGCCCAAGTGGGCCGATTGATTTTTTTGAAAAACCAACCAGTTTCAAAACGATATGGTTATGAAGCAAAGGTGCTCACTTCTTTATAAAAACTCATCTATAGGCAGAGTACATGTCTAATAATACGTGGTGAAATGGATAGTAGCAGTAAATGATTTTTTATCTGATCAAAATATTATTTTATAGTCGGCCCAAATGGACCTATTGCCAAATTTGTACTTGTTAAATAAAAGTATTGTTGCAATATACACATCATGTTTTGCATTTTTATTATGATTGATGTTCATTTGACTCACAAGACTTTAATCGATCAAAAATCTTTTTTTTAACTATAGATGCACCCCTCCGTCATACGACATAAACGTTTCATGCACGATATTTCAAAACATATGGCACACGAGCAAAGTCAATATACAGTTCTTTCTACAAGTAATATTGCATAATTCGAAAATTTATAATACAAAATATACAAAATATGACATCTTGGAACGATATTGCTTTCTGGAAATAGTGTATATATTTCGTACACGAGCCAAAGTCATCTTAAATATTGACATAATACCTCACATAAGCCCATAACACTGACTCATGACATCTTTAATCCATAGTAATTGACAGTCGTAATATTAATATAATCAATAGATGTAGTTGGTTGTCAGCATTTATTCTTGCATATAATGATCAACATCCATCTTGCTGTGTTCTTATATTTTAGCCAAATAAAAGCTCAATACAAAATTAAAGAGTACTGCTCGGTGCTTCCACGATGATATGATGACAAAGTCGTCTTTTCACTGATTTTTATCTCCTCTCGCTAAGAAAGAACGATGAAGCTGTTGATGTTGATAGTGGTTGAATTGCTCCCCGAATTATTATGAAAAAATAAATACACCACACTACCTGTTTTACCAACGCAATAAAGTGCTTATAAAACTCTAACTCGATAACTTTTTATCCCACCATCCTGTCCTTAATTATGTCATAAGCAGTGAATGTTTTCTACCTTTAGTTTTTATATATAAGTTGCTGAGCCATTGTAAAATGTAAATTTAGATGTGTGCCACTTTTTTGAAAAAGAGTGTACCTCGATTTGTACTTTTCCGCCCTTTTTTTAAAGGGCAATAAAGGCGCATTCTCTATTGGATAATTTGATTACACAAGAGTAATTTAATGATGACGAAGAGAGAGAGAACGATTTTGGGGGATTTTAAAAAAAGAGATAAAACACGCGCCAAAAAATAAAGTTAAAGTTGTTACATTTGGTGTAGCCAATAGACGCAATAGCAATAATATAGAAATTCAAAGGTTGCAGAGAAAGAGAGAGAAAAACACGCCAAGAACATAGATAATCCTTTAATCAACGAATCATACATATATATTTTGTTCAAATCACACGCATACACATGACATCATTCTTAAATAAAAAGGCAAATGATGTACACGGATTATTGATCATTGTGAATATATTAGGGTCAAGCCTGACTCCCAATGGAGAACGAAATAAAAAGCTTCGAAAAGATTCCATTGCATCCTATAACGTAATCTTTAAAGCACTAGAAGATAATGGAAGAAAATCAGGGCCTATATTGATCTTTTTTTTTTTTTTTAAAGGTTCTCAGATTCATTCATTGTAAAAATATATGATATAATATGTCTCAACCTGGGTCTATATGTTTTGTATACTTTTGCTCATATATAAGGTCAACTTAACACGGTGATGTTGTATATTAAAGAATGAACCAATCGTTTCATAACAAGAGTGCGCCTTTTTATCGACTTCTCCTGGGTTGAAAGCGTCAATGAGTTGTCTGCATCGATTGACGCGTAAACGGCTTTTGATATTGATGGCTTAATGATATAATAAAAAATGGTGCATGGATTGTTCAAATGAGTTCTTGGTCAGGGTATATCGAGATATATAAACGTAGCTTACGTATTTCCTAATTCTAAGCCTGTACAATCTATTCACATTTATAGACTTTACACTTGTACACTTTATGACGAAACTATATGTGAGCATATTATTTATCTCTTCATCATAATGATGATCAAAAGGGAACTATCAAATTATTATTATTTATGCCGCGTAAAATTTAGTACTTTGACCAACTATTAAAAATGATTTAAATGTAACATCTGCCTCCCTAGTAGTAAACACATATCACAGTTTGACGATCTCACTTACAACTACCCCCCAGATATAATACGTTATAGTGATACCTATGTTTAAAGCTATCTCCGTCATGATGATAGTTTCTTTTTTTTTTTTTT